TTTTTACTTATTAATAAGACATTATAAAAATGAGTGACAAAATATATTCCTCCGCCATACAGGAGTCTCGGTAGTTAACTCGGTACAAAACTCCTTAGTAGGGCTGGGGCTAGTCCGCCATCTTCTGGTAAACGCGGGAACGGCCTCGGAGGGTGACAGTTCAGAGGGGTAAAGAGTATTTGTGCTCTTCTGTGTCACATTTGTTCTTGCACTGGGCTTGGAAAAAAGATTTCATTTTATCATGAAATCTACAAAACCTCAAGAATACTTGTGTGCTAGGCTCAAATATGTAACATCATCCGGTCTCTGAAAATGTTTATGGTGGTTTTCTCAAAAATTCTGTTTGAATTTAAACAGCCGTTACTAGACTTGACATGTAAATGTATAAAAATAGCTATTTATCAGTTTATTCAGGGATTTATTAGGTAATTTGTGTGTGTTTTGGGAAAAAGAAATAGGAAGAGTGCAGGGACTTGAGTGCTGTTAATGCACTTAAGACAAAAGCAAATGTTTTGCCTGCCATCTGGCTGCTTTCATGTATTCATCAGCCAAACTAAAAATCATGTATATATCAGCACCGAGTTTAATGTGAAACACATTCAGGATAGATGGCATTAAGTGGTTTCATGTACCCTTGTGTACCGGCTAGTCACATTCATGGAAAAACAACTTATCTTTTCACCAGGTATCATAGTAAGGAAATCATAAAGCAGTCATCATATGCATAAAATTATGTTTGTGTTTATGAAACGGTGCTTTTTTTCGCTACAGAAATTGAGGCCATAAATGGTTTAAATGCTTCATAACTGTAATAAAAGCAATTAAGTTATTTTGGCTTATACATTTAGCCATGGTAGTTTTCAAACTGTGTGATACTGAGAGAAAAAAAAGCAGAACACAGTGGAGAAAAGGAAAATAGAGATAAAAGAGCAAAAATACTGATTTGGATATTGTTATTTTACAGCTGTACATGTAGAAGGCAGTTACACATGCACTGTAAGAGCAGGTTGCTGTGGTAGCTGGATAGCAGTAAACGGAAAGGATTTATTCTAGTAGCTTCCAGAGTTGTGGTGAGTATTTCATAGAATGAAAGAACGTGGCTGGTCCTTCCTAGAGCATTCAGCCATGGAAAATGGAATGAGAAGAGAACAGAAGAGGATTTGCCAGCTCCAGAGCACACAAACTGTCAGTTACTGCCCAACATGATTTTTACAAAGAGTGTGAGAATGGGATGAAGCTGGAAAGGGGATTAAGAGTGGGGAAGGTGGAGGATGTTTGGTTTATTTTTTTTAAGGTAGAAAGAGAATCTAGAGGCTTTCAGAGTAGGTCTTCCTTGTGAGTTAGCAACTTGATGGCTAGATTTTATTCATCTAGTGATCAAAGAGGAAATGGATTGTGGACAAGCATGCACTTGAACAGAGCAGGCCTCAAAAGTGGTTTGGGGCTGATGGTATTTTGAGCTAGGAGTGTTACCTCCTGAAACAGCTGTGCTTGGAGCAACCCGCAGATGAAAGATCTTGACAATGCCATTTTGGATGGATAGAGGAAAATGAGCTGGGTATTTACAGTGGATTGTCCCATTCCCTTGAAATCTCCAGAGAACTTCTTTGGTAATGGACTAGGAAGCTGCTGCAGTATGTATCATGTCTAATTACCAAAAAAACTGTCTTCACTTACGATATTCTTGTAGTATCTGTAGAGGAAAATAATACTTAACAGCCCTGCTCTATGCAGCATCAGCGCAGTGTCCTCCTGAGATTCTGCCAAAACACCTGAACAAAAGACTTATCACTCATTAGTTGGTGTCTTTTGGGTTTTTTGTGTCAGAAAATTACTTTTAAATGGCAGCCTACTGGTTTTCTTACTCATTCTGCCAATTGCAGGTAATTCTGCAAGAAATAGCAGGTGTGTACAGTAGTAAAATAATTGAAGACCAGATTCACGTATGACATTTTAAATGGTAACTCTGCTGGTGTAGAAAGAAATGCTGCTGGTATTGAAAAGACTAAATGCCAACACATTAAAGAAAAAAAATACCCCACAGAACTAAGCAAGGAAAACATTCAGAACTAAATAGGTTTCTGTTAATTTTCGTCTTAGGGTAAGAACATTTTAGAATAGAAGAGTGGGATGCAAGGTTTTTCAGTCTACTCAATATAAAAAAGCTTTATTGACTCATGTGAGTAGGTTGTCATCAAGGATGTATCCATGCTTCAGAAAAGGATGGGTGACAATCACAGATGAAGAAAGCAAGAATCTGTTCCCAGTGTAGACTGTTTGAGGTGGCAGAATTTTCACAGAATTTCAGCTCTTCAGTCTGCAAAAGCATTGCAGCACAGCTCTAGAAAGCAGGGATACTAGTTGTGGAAACCTGCTTGAATACGATGAGTCCCTCGGTTAGCAAAAAATCCAGTTAAGTAAATGCATTTTCATTTCAAGCAGAGGATTTTGTAGAAGGAATAGTGTAATAGTGTGTAAATTAACTTAGCCACAGGAAAAAATCTGGATGTGCTGGATTGCTGCTTCGAAAGACATTAGACCTTATACTAAGACCTCTTTTCTAAGCTGATACTGAAAATGACCTTGCAATGGCTATAAATATAACTTGTCATTTTTTTATAGGTGTTTATGCTTCCAGAGTACTGTTATTGTGTATTAGATCATAAATTCCTGGTAGTTTGCTTGCAAATAGGTGTTAAGACTATTCCTCTATCCTTTTCCGCAAGTATACTAATTATTTCTACTTGGTTATTTTTGTAGTTCTGCTGAGCTCATTTATTCCATCACTTGGAGTATTATAAGTGATAATATGCATATTCCTTTTGATGTTGATTAATAGCTGATCTGCTACTGGATTCTTACATTAAACATAGCAGTGCCAGACAACCTGTGCTCTGAATAATTCATAAAGAATAAGAAAAGGATTAGAGGCGGGCCACACAGATACAAATTTCCATGTGAGTTTAGTCAGACCTTAAAGTCTCCCTGAGCATTGATCCTTGTCGTTAGTCTCGTTCCATCTTCTGTTGCTTTCTCTCTGAACTCCTTCCAGTCCACCTTGATTGCAAGGGCCCCTCAAGGGTGAATGCAGGGTTTCAGGAACGTTTTGCTAATTGTTTTATGGGTAATTCTTCACCATACTTGGTCAGCTTGTATTTTATAAAGTGCAATTACTGCACGGGAAGTAACAAGACTTAAATTGTTCTGACTAAAGAGGGAGACATAATTCATTCTATATATAGCATCTCCAAACTGAGTAAAGCTTGAGCATTCCAACATTTGAAAAGATGGTAAGAGACAGTAATACAAATGTATAAGACAACGTGAAGTTTAATAATTGTTTTAATAAAACCCACAATAAAGCAACACACTTTTTTTTTATAATTAAACGTGTAGTAAATTATTAAAAAACTCCAAATACAATACATGTCTACTTCTAATTACATCGACTGTAAACCCCAATTTAATTAAAACCTATTTGAGTATTAGTATGTGCAAAATACCTGTTGTTTGTCTGTGGTATTTTTTTTCCAGTAAGTTTGTAAGGATGGGATGCACATTCTTCATGAACTGTGATATGGCTTAATTAATGATTGTGTTTGTACTGAAGCATTAACTTCCCAAGTATGGGTGCTTCTTGGCCTCTGAGCAGTATGTGCTCCCATGCTGTACTCAAATGTTCCCATTTCTTCCCAGAACAGATATAAACATAATCCAGTGTTACATGCGCTTTGTCCAAATTAATACTGTGCTGTCAGTTTTCACCCATAAAAAGTCATCATGTGACCCCTACCTCAAGTAAGGAGAGACAAGAAGCCAAGGCTGTTACCCCAAATTGCAGGTACAGATCAGCCTGATGAGTATGTGAAACCCTAGCAAGTTTCAAAACATACAATAGCTTAAGTATTCACAGCTAAATATCACAATATCCATTACTTGGCAAAAATTTTCCTTTCTGATCCACACAGAGAACTACTTTTGATGTCAGTGGAAGTTCTGCATAAAGACCAAAGTACAGAATAAGCAAAAAATCTCTGAAGCCAAGTTCCTCCCATCTTCTGAACTTTGCAGGTCGTATTCTTATTGCCCTTAGCTTCTTCACCATAAATGACTTCAGAAGCAGGCGCAAATCTGCGTTTCAAGGTATGTGACAGCATGGTGTCAGTTTGGTTATCCTGTGTACAGAGTACAGGGATTCCACCACGAGGCAAAGAAATTCAGTTTTGTGGATTTTGTGATGTCCGGATGAATAAATAGTCTTCAAATTGCCTCATCCTTCTGCAAATAAGAAAAGGCCTTTCTACCTCTGTTGGTTGTTACGTTATTTTTGTCCAACACCATTAGGTTACTGAGCTTGCTTAGATTTTGCTTTATGAATAAAGCTAAGTAGTGGGGACTGTTTCAGGATACTGCCATAGTGTGCTCAAAGCAAAGTTGAAAAGGTCAGAGATACCTGTGACTGAGGGAATGGTACATATCTAAAATTTCTGCTCCCACTTTCCTCTTGGATGTATTTTGCATGTCTGTTAATTGTGTTTCAGAGTATCTCCATGTCAAGCATAGTTTCTGTCTTTTGACTTTTCTTTCAAAACAATCTTGGAAAAATAATCAATTACAGGACATTTATTAATTATAATAGAAGGCATGCTAATCAACTGGCCTTTTAATGTCAATCGAATGTTGGTTTAGACATTCAAGATCATTAATAACAAATTCATCTTACAAGTCAAAACTTTGTAAAATAAATAACCTGTTTTTACTGTATAAACCCTATTCTAAAATACATTAAAGATAACTGATGACTTAAAACACTTTGGGTCCAGTGTTGGGTCTCTAGTTAAACACCAGAAGTCTGGGCAAGGATCTTTCTGTCTGGATCTCTGAATGCCCAGATTAAAGCTAATTTTCTGGTCTGGGTACAGTAAATGCTGTATTTTGCAGTGTCTCCAAAGAGACAGTTTCCAAAAGAATTCAACTAGCACTGTATGCATTGTAGTCTTAAGATACTGTATGAAAATTACTATTGCAAAAATACTGTATAATGATTTTAGGGATCATGACATATGGAATCCTGGCATGATCAGCATTAGAGACTTGAACTGAAATACTGAATACTTGATGCTCCATTTGGAGTGCAGGTACTTTGTGGTACATAGTTATTCAAGGACAATATGGGACTGTAATTTTTGAGGTATCTGCAGAACCACATTGCAGTTTGTAAACAATAATCTGAAAACAGCTTTGTCTCCAAATCATCATAACTTGAATAAACCAGTACAAGGGAGAGAGTGAAATACATGTTCTGTAGGGCAACCACTGCACTTTCTGCAGCACCAGTTCTCCCTGCTGCATGTTACATGGTACAAATCCACGTATTAATGGTTTCTATTTGATCACTTTCATTTTGCATTTATTGCTCTCAGTCTTTGACTACAAGATAAAGAATAAGGCAGCAGTTCCCAAAACATATGAAATTAGGCACTGGAACTCTGACAACTTGCGCAGGTTTTGCTGATTTCCTGTTTGTAACTCTGAAGCTGGACAGAGCACTTGTACATTCCAAATGTGTTCAGCAGCAGTTGTCGAGCCTTGGACTGAACTTCCTCCCATTTAGATGAACTTCCAGGAACTGGAAAATCAAGACAATAATTAATAGAATTCACTTCTCAAGAAACCTGCACAATTCAGTGCTACCAACAAAATAAAACTGTGTGTGTTACACACCACCACCACCACCCAAAAAAAAAAGCTTTCTTACTAAGAATTAATATTCAGGATAGTCAGGTGTCTAAATCAGCACGTTTTGGCAAAATGTATTTATTTTTCCTGTCAGATTGTTAGAGTTTCACCCTGTCTTTCCCTGGACAAGTAAGGGAATTTCTGAAGAGAAATTTTACACGCACACACACCCCCACCCTCTCCCCAGGAATCTGTATTGGATGTTTCAGTATGAATGTATTTCTTTGCACAGTTTTCATTTTCACTGTCTTTCTGGGCAAATGGGTTTTGTAACTTACTGTACAAAACCATAGTTAGCAAACTCTCCACACCACCACCACCCCTCTACCCACCTCCCCAAATGATAGTTCCTGGTTCAACTTAAATAACAATATGAAGAGAAAGCATTGGATTACTTCTTTTTGTTACATTTCATTTAGAACCATTATGTTCAGAATTATGCTATACAGCAGCTTACCTAGTTGCAAGTGGACTATGGCAGTTGTTTTTCCTGCAGTGAGAGACCAAACATTTAAGTCTTCTATAGAATAAACATCTTCAATTTTCATCAAGTCTTCCTTAATGCGATCCACATTTAAATGCCTTGGAACTCCTGTAATACCAAACATGAGATAGAATTAATTCTGTCTTCTGCAAACTCTCAGTGGCCTTTAAAATGTCATGACAGATCTCAAAAGAGTTTATAATTTGTGCTGGTGAAATGATCAGTAACTTCCAAGTTATCAATAGAGAAGAATATGCAAATTGGCATATTGTCAAATATGGATACTGAAGTTGTACAGTAACTGCAGTGTTGTCTTAAACATAATTTGTCCTGTGCAGAACTTCTGGCAATAGCCAGCATTAGGTCCTTTGGTGCGATGTACTTATGTAGACAATATTACTGCAGCTTCTAACCCCTCGTAACTGCTTAGCCCAGATTCTAAGGTCAGAATCTAAAAAACCACCATGCTAGGGCCTATGTCCTGAAACTTCTCTCTTCAGGTACATGGTATCATTTTCAAATGCTCGTAGTAATCCATCTGCAGTGGTTAACACATACGACTTTCGTCTTACAGTGTGGCATCTTTGCACATCAATGATTGCACCGACCAAGTCCTTCTGGATGTAGTAGTTTCAGCAGGTAGAGCACCTCTATAACTTCCCTACTCCACCCTTTATCTGTATAAAGGGCAGAATCAAAATTTCAAATGATCAACATGGGTCAAAAACTAGTACAAAAGTACTGAATAAACTCTTGTTTCCACATAGTTTTGTTTCTGTTTTATACTGCCTATCTTCCAATTTTATGGAGTTTGATTATATATGCCATGAGGTGTTCAGCCACTTGCTTTTCAGTTTTCTTCAGAATTTCTGAAGTGACTCCTCTCTGAACTTGCTACTTCACTGTTTTTAAATCATGTTAGTTCCAGTACCATCTCTTTTGAAAATTCAGCATCTTCAGACTTCCATGCTGCCTTACAAATATATATTAAAAGCTAGAATCTCGTTGCTTTTATTAATCATTTAAGGTTTTAATTTAGCATTCCTAGTATAACGATGAAACTTCAGTTAAAATTAATAGTGAAAGCTGATACAAGTGCAAGGACCTTGATGTTGTAGCAGTAGTCTCCAATAAATGCAAGTCCCTTCTCTGGAAATCCTGAATATGAGTTGAAAAAATTCCCTAGCATACATACAGCCTACCTACCATCACTTTTAATAACATCATTAATTTGAGGATTTTATGACAGACGGCATAGCTATGCAAACAGCTACAACTGAGAACATCTGGAATTTGATACACCGTTATTTTGTCTTATCTGTTTTCTTCAGCTAAATCTTAGCTAGTTCCTTGGAGCTCACTGAGGTTTCTTAAGCAAATTTCACCATTTAGATGGGTTAGATTGTTGTGCGTTTGGTTTTTTTTTTCCTCCTAAATGACACCAAAAGCACTTGACAGTGAAGATTTTGAGGTTACTGGTTAAGCCTTGTAACATAATAAAAGTAAAGTCAATAATAGCTCATGTGAGACAGCTAGGAATGTTCAACTGAAACTGAGGATTTTTCTCCCATCCCTGACACCTTCACTTTCATAAGGTGAAAGTACTAGATCAAGCAGTAGTAGTTGGCATGTTAGGTGTGATAATGCAAATAATGCTGGCATCTTTCCTTCTAAGTCACCACATGAGATAACATGCTTTAGCTTGTGTTTAGCTTTTTCTTTCCTTTTTTTCCTTACACCACTCTCTTACTTGTAGCTTCTCCTGTGGTAACAGTAGAAGCACACAAGTAATACAAAAGTACCTGTGAAAAGGGGAAGACAAGAAGGACATGAACCACCTGTCCAGCCATTTGTCTTATTCTTGCTTTCTCCTTTTACATGCTTTCATACTCACTTTAACTTTACAAGTAATTAAAGGGAAAGTGTAGAACTGAGCCAGGGCAAATGTTCACTGTGTTTAGCTGACAGCCACTGCAGACACACCAGAAAGTTCCATATGTTTCACTTCACCATCTCCAAATGGTGAACAGCTATGACTTGTGTCATTCTGACAGAGGTCAAAGGCACTTTAAGACTGCTGTGACTTAAATGAGCCATCAAGAACCAACAGACTAAAGAAGCAAGAAGATAAACAGGTTTCTAGACACAATCCACTTTGTTAGAGATGGTGATCAAGAAGTCAAAAAATTGCCAGTGCTTACTGATATTTGACGTGTAAAGTACTGCAGACTGTCCACAGATCTTACCTTCCAGAATAATAACTCCTGTGTCACACAGAATTCGAACTGTTGTCAAAACCACCAGTATGGAGAATACATATGTACATATAGGATCAGCGATCTTGTATTCTGGCTGCAAGGGAAGTTCCGAAGCGTTAAAGCATGTATGAAAATAAGCTCACTTACTTAAAAAAAACATGACTCAGAAAACGCAGTTACTTCTAGCTCCAACCTTCATGAATATTTCTTTTTGTTTGAAGAGTTACAAAATACATAATACAGTTTGCTTATTTTGCATGCATGTATGAAGCTTATAACAGAATATCACAATGTATTTGTTTAATAAATTGCAAAAACAAGTCCCTTTAATCACCAGAATTGAAATTAAAACAATTCCCCCACCTCTAAGGCTAGCCATTCCTTACCTTAAAGCGTATGATGTATGCAGCCACGAGCACACCAATACTTTGTACCAGGTCCCCAAGGGCGTGTACAAACGCTGCTCTCACCGCAAGGCTGCTGTGCCCGTGGCTGCTGCTGTGGGCTGTGTTAGGAGAGTTCGACTGAGGTACGTGAGAGTGAGGGTGGGAATGGGAGTGGGAGTGAAGGTGGCCAGATTGATTCAGCAAAAAACCCATTCTGAAAGTGGAAGAAGAAAAATAGGCTTTAGGGTTGCTTATTTTCCTTTTACACTAAAGAATTGAAAAAGTAATACTCAGTATCATTTCTTGTCTTATGAAAATGAAGAGGTCCAGCAAAATTACATTCCATGAGAAAGATACAGGTCATGAATGAATTAGCAGCTTATTCCAAAATGCATTTACGAGTGTTAATGGAGAGAAAGGGAGATCTTACATTAAGTTAACTGCAACACCAACGGCTGCTGTAATCAGCATGATATCGCCATTTATTTCATAGTCCATATGGATAGTTCTTTGAACGGCTTCATACAAGAGGAATGCCATGAGGATATAGACCAGCAATACACTAATGATGGCAGACAATACTTCTGCAAACAGAAAGGAAACAACATTACAAAAGTGAGTCTAAGCTTCTTGACACTTGTACATACACATTATCTAGTGCAGATTTCAGCTATGAAAGACTGCTTAATGTGTTTCTGTATAGCTGTAATATGCTGTTTTAACATTATCTTATGTTTACCAAATACTCGTATTTCACAAAAGTGTGTTATGACCAACATTTTGGTGTAGGAATTTTGTCTGATCAGCAGGGACTTGCAAAAGGCCACATGTATCTAAGTAAAGAGAAAACTAGAAAGAAACCTCCTAGTATTTCATTGTCCTGCACCTTCCGCTGCCATTTACATCTGTGGGAAGTGGTTACAGCTCTTCACAAGGTTCCTACTGTTCTGATGTGAGGTAAATAGGCCTGAGTATTTTATGGGTCAGGACCTTAGTGCTGTCTGCCTCACTACCCAAATCATGAAATTGGGCTGGTAATAGCATACATAAACCTGAGGACAATTGAGTTCACACTACAGTTTTAAGGTCCTACTAGAAAGAATATAGGTATTTCCAAATGGGTCACTAGATTCCTTTTAATATGAACATACTTCTAACTCATAGCTTCATATTCTGAAAATGATTGCCCTGTTGCAGCTGAAACTTACAAAGAAACAAACAAACAAAAAAGGCAAAATACCTGACAGAGAAAACACTGGCCCAGTTAAGACTGTCTTGGCTATAAGCAAGTTAATACAAGGCTTTACAGAAAGCACAGGGGAAAACCCTAATGCCAGCTCCATTGTATCGCATGTGAATTCATAGGCATGCCTGAGTAATCTGTAATCATTATGCGTAACACTCATTACCGTCACTTGCCAGATGGATCACCAGGATCTCGGCTTTCCTGTGTGAATTCAGAGTTGGAATTAATTTACTTGGAATTTTAATAGTTGTTCTTCCCCCTTGTTCCACACAAGTTGCCCTGATTTATTCTCCAGTAAGGGCAAAATTCTGCTCTTGGCTTTACCATAGTTCTAAGAATACTGATCTGTGAAGTTCCTCACTTCTGCCTCTGCTTTGGATCTGTCAGTGTGTAGTACAACTTTGGTTACTGCTGAAGGTGTCATTTCTAACACAGAACTGTCTTTAACTGTATTTATTGAATATTACAGTAAAAAACATGCTGCTATATAAGCATTTTAATATCGCCCAAATCACTTGATCCATATATGGAATTTTTAACATCGTTATGGGAGAAGAAACTCTCACCCACACGTTCAGCTGTTCAGCAGTGTGTCAGTGCCTGGACCAGTACCAGCACTACCAGGCAGTAACAAGGCTCTGGAAGGCAACTGTCACAATCTTGGATGATTTTAGAGCAACATGAAAATCCTGGAAATATCTGTGCAAGTGGCAGTGTTCTGTACAAAGCAGGCAGATTATTCAGGGCAACAGCCTTAAGAAACCTATTCCTGAACAGGTTTTCCAGAATGCTTTTTAGAAAATTTGTGAAGCATATTAGCATTTACCAGAGAAATTACAGACTGTGGTTTTACAATGGAAAACCATGTTTTCTCAAATGGAAACCAGTGTTTCGCCTGCAGTTTCTTTCACAGGCCCACTGTCATGTCAGCATTGTAGATTTGTGCAGAAATCTTTCGCTTCTTGTGACATGAACTGTCTCAGTGGACTGACTGATTCTGTCATTACTAACATTGTGTTTGCAGCAACGGAAAAATGCCAGGTCCCATATCTATGCTTAAATCTGCTCAATGCCTTACTGAGAAGGAGGCATCTCCACTTGGTGGTGAAACAGAACTATTTTGGCTTCAAGAATATAATACTTTTCAGACATGACTGCAATTTCCATTATTTTGTCTTCATTTTTCTAACCCATTTCTGAATCTGTCAGCTTCCTTTTCACCACTGAAAATGGAGTAAAACTGAAAATGGAGTATACATATTATGTACTCAAAGAGAATTCAAATAAATGAGAACTAGTGTGAATTCCCTTCTGGAATTTGAGTAAACAGCTTAATATGCCTGCAGTGTTAATGGGAACACTTTAATATGCAGTGTTTATGGGAACAAGTTTGAAAATTCATCGTTCTGCAAACAAAAGACATAATGAGCACCAGAAACATTGCTCATTAGAATGTTTTCATACTTACTGTATGTATGGATTGTCTTAAAACTTAATGCAGAGCAGGTCAGCAGTGAGAGAGTTCTTGCACATATTCTCAGCTTCCAACAAATGTTTCACATTTTTTCTCTGACAGATGCTCAATCTGTACCCTATTTTTAACATTCTTTCATATTTTAACATCTCTTTCATGAAATTCAAGCTATTGTTGAGCCTATATTATTTGTTGACAAGCTTCTTGCATATGGAGTATTTGGAAAGATGCGTTATGGCAAGGGTATACCCTCAAAGCAGCTTTCTTCCATTGCCAGCATTCACTGATGTATGGAACTGGGCCCACAGGCCATGGCATTCAGACTGGGTGCCTAGAATCAGGCAAATCTATTTCACAGATGTGACTTTAAAAAGAAACCTGCGTACAGTAATCTTGAACCATCCCATTCTTCTGTACTTGCAGAACCTAGGTCAAGGTTTGGGGGTCTCTTGCAGGGCCTTTACCCACTTCCCTTTCCTCACTGCAGCCACAGAAACTCTTCCCCCCACCTGCGGGCTCTACTCCTTCTCCTTCAGAGAGGGCTGCACTGTTGCTACTCACACAGAATGGCTGAGGTAGAAGGGAACTCCTGGAAACTGTATAGTCCTGCTCAGAGCAGGGTCAGCTACAGCAGGTTGCTCAGGCCAGTGTCCAGTTGGGTTTTGAGTATTTCCAACTGTGAGACTTGACAACCTGTTCTAGTGTTTGACCACCTCCTGTCACTGGGCAGCAGAAAATGGGGAGTAACTGCTTCAGAACTGAGAGGCTGCTCCCAAGGTGGGCAATACAAACTAATGCTATGGGCCACATCTGGCCCGTGGGCCACACTGGCAGGAATCCTCAGGGATTTTTGTTTGCCAAGTGCAGTGGAGCCCTCAAACTAATTTAAAACTCAGTGAAAATTTACAGAACTGAGTAAGATTTTATTGGTTAAGTTTCTTTTATTTTTCTGAAGATCAAGTCCTGTTTTTAAGCTAGGCCATGGCATGTTCAATGCATGTACTGTTTGGCTTTAGAGAATTTACAAAGATATATAAACTACTCATGATTTCTAAATAGGGTTAAAGAGCGCATGAATGCTGGCAAACATCCTTCTGAAGAGTATGAACAACTGCCAGGGGGTACCTGCAAGGTCAGGTTTCAGTATTAGGGCAGCTCCTATTGCCAAATTAAAACTTCTTGAAAGAAAAGTTTGCAATGGGAAATGCTGGCAGTGTTAATGCTTTTTGCTAAAACCCCAAAGATCTCTGCTAGTGTACAGAGTTATGCATTCACGCACTAGTGACTAACTGATGACAAATGACTAGGAGCGATGGAGTTGTTGAATTCTGCTGCTGTTCTAGCAGCCAAAATATGAATTGCAAATGATGACTACACGAGACTTTGAAATTCCTTGAAAAATATACTGTAGAATGTATAGAGCAGAGGCGGCAAACTGTGACACTAGAAATTATCTATTTTATGAAATATAAAGCTTTGAAGCTTTTGATTAAATGTCTGCAAGACCTGTAGCTATATATTATGAACTGTTATATCCAGTTAGCAACCACATGAAAACGCCCTTTATCATCATTACATTTCCAAATGTGAAGTAATGAATCCTGAAAATACCCTTCCAAGGTTTAGCACATAATTCTGTTCATACTTCTCTTTACAGACACCTAAAAGGGGCAGAGGTTAAGTAACTTACTGTATTGCAAACCATGATCTCTGCTTTGTGTGGTTTGGGGAGCACAAGAGAAATACTCATTTATGTGGCTTCTGGCAGAGCAGAGCCCTCTAACAATATGCTCCACAGAACTTTTTAGTTCTGGATTAAGATGTCATTTTTCATACTGAATAGGACCTTCTTCCAGTGTCATAATTCTACTGAAGTCAATGGGAGTTCATAAATCCTGGGCATTGGCAATAATCTGTTGTGAATAACAAATGACTGACATGTACAGCTCCTGCACCAACAAGCTCCTCAGTGTGTCCCAGAAGCAGTAACAGTGGTACAGCAGTGAGTGACCAAAGAATGTGTCCCTCTCTCGCTCAACATCTTCAATTCCAAAGCACAAAGGTGCACAAGTGCCTGACAGAATGCAACAGCCCAGTAACTATGGATGGGCTATGAAACAGAGCTGCATATCCACCCTTGTTCTTGCTGGGGACAACTTCCCTCCTCTGAACCCTTCGTAAAATTTCTAGGCCATGGTTCATTTGTAGGAAGTCATATTTACAATGACATCCTGTGTTCAATTCCCCAACCTTCCTCTCAAAGTTGGTAGATGAAGCAAGCATTCAAAACTTAACTCTGAATCTGCTAAGTCCTAGTTTCACAGAGATGGAGAAGGCTCATCCAGCTTCCCACAACTGAAACTGCCATCAGACTTCACTTCTGACTGAGGTTTATGCTTTAAAAATACATCTTTTTTATTATTTATTCCCTTGTCATAATACAACCTATGTTGTGGATCCACAGTGGCCAGTGAAAGGACATTAGTGTCAGGGTGTTAAACATAAAGCAACTCCTGGGTTTGTTGCTGCTTTCTTTCTAGTTACTTATACTTCTAGAATTAGGTTATCTTTACTGTTGCTTAAAATGCTCTGTTAATAGAAAAAGCTGATACCTACATACCTAAGCGATGAAATCCGAAAGTGAACCTCTTTGTGGGAGATTTTGCAGAGAGCCAGAGAGCAAGCAGGGTCAAAATAATACCACTAAGGTCAGTTAACATATGAAGTGCATCTGTCATAATTGCTAGGCTGTTAGCAACATATCCACCTGAAAAGAAAGTTGAAAAAGTCAGGACGTATGACATTAATGATTGTAGATAATATTCTTTTGGCACAGCTTAGAGTTATGTATTTTCAGAACAGTGCATTAAGTGCATGAGAGCTCTTCTTATAATCACTAAATGGGTTTTTTTTGCCATTGCAATCAAAATGCCATCCTATAATTTAAAGCTGCCATAGTTACAAGTGCAGTGAAGTGTGCTTTCTGTTAAGAGTAACATAGAACGGATTCACTCCTGTCATTCTCACACACTACTTGCATCCTAACATTTGCAAGATCAGGACCAAAACAGTTTCGTTTCTTTTCTCTGTATGTTAGTGTATATGTATTTAATCAGTTGATCCTTTTATTAAACTACATCTGTTAAATATCTTGACATTATGGAACAGGGACAGAAATCCAGTGATTCAGCGGCAAGGAAATTTACCCTGCCCCCTTATTACTATTACATTATCTTGTAACTTTCATTATTCCCTGTCCTGGCAGGGCTAAGTTCTGCCAATACATACCGCAGGCAGTGACTTCCACTTGCACAGCATTTTTCTTTGTTATTTATTACCATAATTTTTGCTTGTAATTATGAGCTGTATTGAGACAAATAACCTCAGATCAAAGGTTAGTATCTTTGTTTCCATTCAACTGCTAATGCTACTGTTGTATAGGCAAGAGATTTAAACAATGCGCCTCTCTTAAGCACCCCTTATCCAAAGGGGAATCAAGGACAGGCTTCCTTGTCTTCCATATGCATGAAGTTAAGCCCATTTTCTCAGAAAAGATCACATCTTTAGTGTCAGCTCAGCTATGATTTAGTTTCTCTTTTTACCTTGAGATTGACATTCAGCCTGTAAATTCTCCTGAGCAAAGCATGCAGCTGGCATGCCATTTGGCAGGCTTGAGGCTCCAACTAACATTTTGAGTAAAGGTATCTTCATCTACAATTAAAACTGTCTTGGTGAGGAGGCTGACCATGAGGATGTGCCAAAGGCATATTCACAACTGGCTGACTGCTTTCAAGACTAGTCATAAAACCTGTGTGTGTATGGCTGTGAATGTTAGTATGCACACACCTGCAGACTGAGCTTCTCTCCCCAGCTAAACACAAGCAGCATGGCTGATACTGTAGTACTTCTTGTACTGTGAGTAACCACCAAATACACACTTCAACTAGTTCCCTTCCTCCATCCCCCCATCTTCAGTTGTTCCTAAGTCAAATTCACCTGAAGCTGAAATTTTCCAAAGGCCATCACAGCTCAAAAGCAGTGAGTTTTTAAGATTTAGCAGTTTAGCAGCTTTTTGAGTTATACCCTCCCGTTCTGAATTAGTTTCTGTTCTCATGTAATTTTAAAATATTACTTAGAAATATGCAACTCAGCCTCTTCTGTAGTCAACACAGGAGAAACAATAATTTGTATCTAAGGCATTCAAATTAGTAGCTTACATGTATGATCATGTAAAGTACGTATGTTAATTCCCATGTATTAATTTTGAGAGTCACTTCAGTCTGAGATGAGTCAGTTCATTTCAGCTAGCCTCGCACTTTGACAGACTTCAGAAATAAAACGATAAAGAAGGAATTCAGATACTGAAGCAATTGTAATGTGACTAAGAAAACATAACTGAAATTTATGAAATTCTGAAATCAAAGGTTCCCTGTTTCCACATGTATTGGTTCATCGCTTGGTTAAAGGTACTGAGTCCTGAGGGTTGTTAAACACAATTGGCAACTTGGAAAAAAAAGACATCTACAACCTGTACAAATAGACAGCTCGATGGCTCAGCATTGTCTTCAGTGACCTGTGAAGGACAGCAGTCCTCCTCATGGACAATCAATTAGAAATCTCTACACATAGCTGAAAAAAACAAAACCCTGCCAGAAAAGGTAACTAGGACTTGCTATATGTTTTTAATTTTGTGATGCAAAATGGTTCCCACAAGGTGTAAGTTGTTACCTGACTTTTACAATGACTGTTGATCAAATTAAACAACACACACTGAGGTGGGCTGGGGTAATGAGCTTGGCTGTGCGCTGGAAAACAATATGCCAGTCACGATTTCACAAGAAAGCTGCTGAAACAAGATTTCCTTCATCTTGACATTGGTAACAGACAGCAGGAAGATTTTAACTGAGTAACTGAATCATCTGATAGGGTCTTCTGCCTTTTTTCAGAAACTAAAAAGAGAGAACTGTCAAAGATCACAGATAGAAGTCAGTTAAAATGTCCTATAGGATTAAACAAAGTTTCCCAAATACCTGTACTTCAAATCAATGAAAAAAGTTCCAAAATTTGAAACGAAGCAGACAGAATGCAATACAGGGCTGGAATGGAACAGTTAAACAGGTAGAGAGGGCCAGGACTGAAGGGCTCTATCTTTAATTACTTGTTCTGCTGCTGATTACTTGCCTTGTGACAAGTCATTCAGGTCAAGATCCACACAAGTACGGAGATACCCAAGTCCTCTATTTCTTCTTTGTGGAAGTTGGACACAAAGTCTTTTATAGGTCTGGCCCTTAGTGCTGTCTGCCTCAGTGCCCAGAACATGAAATTGGGCTGATGATACCTACACCTCATGACACTATCAACACTGTGCAGACAAATCCACCATCCTGAGCTAAGCCAGCAGAAGTCCTGGCTGTACAGGAGAAATGACAGATGATGTGACAGTGATAAGAGAGGATTTTTACTCTCAACACCTATTATTTCTAGAGCTCTCCCTGCACTAGCTATGGAGGGGTCTACAGCAGTGTGAATCAGATCCAAAGTCCCTGACAGATACACCCCAGTGACTTTAGCATCAAGCTGCCAGCAGCTCCAAAATATTATTCAGTAAGAGGTTCTTTGGTTGAACTAAATTCAGTATTTATCAGAACTCTGTTATGAATACAGTCAGATGAAATCACTCTCGTGTTAAAGGATGTCTATGTTTGAGATACAACACTATGTTCCTTATCGCATTTACCTGAGTTTATGCTGAAGCAAAATCTTAGCCAGAGAAAAAAAATAGAGACAGGGCATAAATGGAGAGCACAATTCAGCATATGCCCACAACAGGTTTGATGGAACTGCCTTATCCATGGATGGTAAAACTTATCCATGATAAGCTGATGCACTGTGGCACTGTCGTTAATGACTAACCACACAATGAGATATTGAAGGACGAACCCACTTTTTTCCACTAACCCACATTCCTGGGCCTCCCAGTAAAACTGGTGCAGATATAGTCAGTATTTTGATCTCTCTCTGAAAAACAGACTGGATTTTTGTCTACATATGTGGGACAAACTGTATTATTCATCCTTGAGCAATGATTTTGCTCCCTATCATCTGGTAAGAAGTTTCTGTCTTAACGACACAATTCACAGCTGTCCTACAAGTGATCCATGATCACAAGCTCACTTCACACAAGCAAATGTCAGATCTTCAGTCATTACTGACCAAATCTGCATAGGTGCAGAGGAGGATGTAGGTCCTGGGCCACTATACCTGAGGCATCTCTGTTCTTTACTTCCAGAAAGTTTTTGTGACTCAACTTTTTTTTCCCCCTAATGAATTACGGCAAATAATTCATCTAATTAGCTCTGATTTAGACTTGTATGTGAAAATGAAAGCAATTTAAAAGCAATTAATTGTTATAGTTGTTACAGAGACCTGGCTCAGCATATACATCAACGTCCTGGAACTGTGTAATGCTCCCCATGACTTCAAATCTGTGGATGAGAAAATTACAGCGTTCTCCAGGAGGCTGCACAGCACTAAGCAGACATGTGCACTGAAGGGCATGGACATACCCAAAAGGCAGATTGTAACAGGATGCTGATACTGATAAGTGAATGGAGATTAAAACATAAATACTATCCTTTGTAAAAATTATTAGCTAATGGCAAAGGAGTAACATCTAATAGCTCATCCGTGCATGCAGGGCACCTTCAAATTTATTTCAAGCCTATGCTGCTGTAGCCTATAAAATAAAGCACAGTCGTTCTATACAAGCTGCTGTAGAGCACACAGGTTATCTTTTACCTGCATAGCAAACAACACTGCGACCTTAGCAGGGAGCAATAAAAGCTGAACTTGATCACCAGATTAATTCTTCTGACCAACAACCACCACATACCTATACAGGAACAGATTTCCAGGTAAAAACCCATCATGCTTCTGCCAAGTCCTAACAAACAAAACCCACAAGTAATTTACTCAGACTTCTTGGTATTCTTCCATGTTGTAATGGGAAGTGTTAAAATACCTATTAGTTTAATTGACTCTGGGCACATGATCTATGCCTGGATGGAGCATACACTGGTCCCGGGTGTAGGAGGACACCAGGTAGCTGTCAGGAGGCTGGATTTTCACTGCAACCCCACTGGTAGCTCAGGGTTTGGCTTTTTGATTATAAGAAAGAGAGGGCATTGCTGGTGAGTGAGGGCAACACCGCCCCCACCCCTCATACACACCCCCCAGCATTAGTTTTGATATTATGGTAAATGTCATGTCTGTATTTCCCTCATTTTCTCTTGTTGCAAACACGGCGAGATTTTATAGCAGTAGTTAATACTGAGGATGAAATTGTTAATCTTGTTTTGTTTTTTTAATGTCTGTAATAAAATGCTGCTTCTCCCTTGCTAATAACACCTTACAAACTTCCAAGAGAAACTTGCACGGAGAACTAAAAAGCCATCAGACATGCAAAAAATACCTATTTATGCCGTCTGGGGGGACTGATGATATTCAGATAAGGGAAGTTGCAAATTCCTCTTTCTTTTCTTGCATGGAAAATAGAGGTGGACTTTGTTCCTGCTCACTCTGTGAACTTGCAGCTAATCTCTCTGATCTCTCTACATGACAGACGGTTTCTCTTAGTAACTACCGAAAGCCAGGGCCGTAGAGGCGTGACAGGCTGCGCGGCACCGGCCGGAGAGACGGCCGACAGAGCCCCCGACTCACCTACGAGCTCCCCGGTCATGAAGAGGAGATAGAGGAGGGCAGCGAGCGTCAGCCTCTTCTTCACCGTCCTCTGCCTGGAGCGCTCCC